AAATTAATCCAATTATTTAAACTGAAGCACTAACGAGTAGCCCAACTCAACAGTATATTCCATAAGACCAAAAGAAATTAAAAAAAAACAGAAGTATGAGTTTAGTAGCAATGTAGCATAATATTGAACGCAGAACAGAATGCCAAAAATTAACTTATAACATTCTAGCAGTGGCTTTAAAAGAAAATGCAAAATTAAAACAGAGAAAGAGGTCTTTCTCCTTGAGCAGGCAGCAAACAGACGACTCGTGACAGGGCTGAGTCAGTCAAGTGTGCAATTTTGAGTATCACGAAAATCTTGGAAATATATAGAACAAATAACTGCAAACTGTCGTATGTCATAAAATGGGGAGCTAATGGAAGAGATAAATGTCATGCAGTAATCAATCATAGCTTATGCAAAAAATAAAGATCAATCATACAACAACTACTATGCCTCAGTTCAAGTTTCTCTATTTAAATTCATCTCATGCACCAACATTATACAACTGTGATCAATCATAATTGGAAGAAAATGATACAAGTATAAGCAACGAAATTGGAAAATGGACAGTTGAAAGATAATTCACTCACTGCTAAATCCTTCTAAGGCAAAACATTGACTAGATACAGCAAAATGACGAATATTATGACAAAGCATATCTAGCAAATTAGATTCCTCCATAGAGCATTTGAAAGATGAGATGAGAAATCTCATCATGATCAACATCATAAATAGCATATAGATACTAGAACATAATTTTTTTTAGCAGCCACTTATATGCTAGGACAACATAAGATGTCATTCAACATATTAGATATATGATACAATGGAAAAGCACATATACTGATTTGTTAACAAAAAAGGACAGCTCAATTAGTACAAGGTCAACAAAAAAAGTAAACAAAGTTATTGTACAAAGGAGAGCCAAATCCAAAAAAACATCTCTCTCGAATTTGATCATCAAACTAACACAAAATCCCAAACTGATTTCCATCACACTTAATGGAACTACCTGGCAAACATATTGGCCAGCTCTCTCAGGGCATTCTCCTCCAGTAGCTCTTCTTGCTCCCATAGCCTGTTATCAATTTATATACATGAAATTTCAAATCCTTCGTGCTGATTTCACTAAAGATCAGAAGTGCAAAATGTATAAAAAAGAAAGGATTTTCTTCTTTCAGACTACAATATTAAAGGATTAAGAATAGACATTTAAAAATCCGGAATAGAAATAGAAAAAAGCTGATTCTTAATAGATCAAAATCTGAATTGGATAGTAACAGAGGAAATCAAGTGATCAGGCATCATAATAAACACAAATACCTCAAAATGAACCCTAAAATTACACGATTTTTTGTGGCTTATAACAAAAATTACCAAACTCCGATTGTGAGGATGATTAAACCAACACCGAGAGCCATAGCCACAGGCTCTGTTCCTCACGTAATAAATACAATCAGGCTCGTAAAGTCGTTCAGGGTACGATCCTGAGCCACTGCCGACCGACAACTGCCACATAGGTTCCGCATTACACCCAATGAGGTAAGAAATGAGTCAGATCCACTCCACACTACATTTCAGGACACTGCCACATAAGTTCTGCATTTCCGGAGGGTATCTAAGCAGTAATTGAGCAGTCTTTTCAGTGAAACACTACTTCTTCCTCCTTGATGCCATCGGAGTATATATATACTCTAATGGTATCAAGGAGTAACTCAATAGAGTTTTACTAAAGCATTGTTTCTTCCTCTTTGATACCATCAGAGGATACATATACTTTGATGGTATCGAGCAGTAAACGCACGTTAGTAGTTTACAACAATGGGTATGAAAGTAAGGGGTAGTCGTTTGTAAATAGTCTCTCTTTTTGGGGTATAAGTGTTCTTTTCCCTTAATTTTATCCTTTAAATGTACTAATTTTTAATTTTTGTTCTTAGCAGGCGAATTTGTGCTACCAAATGTATAGAAATGCAGTGAAACACAAATACATGGTAATTTACTACTTCCACAATTCATGCTATTAACGAGTAAATATCTCAAAAGATCACTTAACTTTGAGAAATTATATAGTAAAGTTAGTGAACTTTGTTTTATATCAATAAGATCACTCAACTACGGGTGATCCTATATCACCTTTTTTGTTTATCTTAGCTATGGAGGGGCTCAGCCACATGATCAGGAGGGCAAGGGCAAATGGTTAGTTAAAGGGTTTCCAAGCTCAGGGGCAAGGACACAGAGAAGATGAAAGGGGAATCACACATTTGCTTTATGCAGATGACTCACTAATCTTTGGTGAAGCTGAAGTATCACAGATTAGACATATTAGGGCTATCCTCACAATTTTTTAAGGCACTTCTGGACTGCATGTTAATTGGCAAAAGAGTTGTCTTTACCCAGTGAACGAAGTTGATAATATGGAGATATTAGCAAGTAATCTTGGATGCCAGGTAGATGACTTACCCACAAAGTACCTAGGGATGCCCCTGGGTGCAAAGAACAAAGAGATGGAGAGACGGGAGATTGGCAAGATGGAAGAGTCAGTATTTGTCCTAATCCTTGGGAGGGAGATTAACACTAGTCAAATCTGTGTTGGATTCCCTTCCTTCCTATATGATGAGCCTATTTCCTATACCAAAGAGTATTGTGAAGAGAATAAAATTGCTCGGAAGAACTTTTTTGTGGAATGGAAACAAGGAGCGGAAAGGTTACAACCTTGCAAAATGGGATGCCATAACACTTACAAGAAGCAGGGGGGATTAGGTATCAAGAAACTCAGCCTCCAAAACTCTTGTCTTTTGCAAAAATGGTTATGAAGGTTCTGTGCTGAGGATATTCCTTTATGGAAAAGAATCATCATTAAGAAATATCGACTTCAAAGTCCCCGGATCACTAAAGATGTCCTTGGTTGTAGTGTCTGGAAGACTATTTGAAGACTCTAGCCCCAATTTCAAAAAATATTCAGCTCAAGGTGGGTAATGGCGTGAAGATTGATTTCTGGAATGAACTTTGGATAGGTGAAAGGAGCTTGAAATCTCTCTTCCCTGATTTGTTCCTCCGCAGTCAACAGACTAGGGCCACTATAGCTCAGATGTGGAGCATACAAGGTTGGAATTTCAACTTTAGAAGGGCCCTAAATGATTGGGAGGTTCAAAGAGATGCATATTTGCTTATAGTGATAAATGATTTCAATGGAAATACCAATGCACCAGACAGACCAGTGTGGAAACTTCACAGCAAGGGTGCATTCACTATGAAGTCATGCTATTGGAGGAGAAATACTGACCAACTACAGATTAGGAACTGGCCTTGGAAGCTAATCTGGAAAGCCAGAGTCCCCTTAAAAGTTTCCTGTTTTGTGTGGTTAGTTTGCAGAAAAGCTTGTTTGACTCATGAAGTACAGATTTGCTCAAGATGTTTTATGTGTGACCAGGATGCTGAAATAAATAGCCATCTATTTCTACACTGTAAAACAACTGCAAATCTGTGGAACATGTTCTTGTGTATACTTGGAGTGAGTTGGGTGGTTCCCAAAACTACTAAAAGTATGATGGGCTGCTGGAAAGAGATTGGAAGAAGAGATTCAGAAGAGGACTGGTGGGAATTAATCCCCGCAAGTATCTGGTGGACATTGTGGTGGACATTGTGGAAGGAAAGAAATGCAATAGGCTTTGAAGACAAAAACAACAACATTCAAAAAATCAGAATGAATTGCCTTGGTCTTCTATATTTTTTGTGTAAACAGGATATGGTGGGGGATATAGAACTTTTTGTTGATTTTATAGGGAAATTGTAAAGCTCCATAGACTAGTTCTTATGGCCTTCTGTTTTTTACCCTATGGGATGTAAGTGCTCACTCTCATCATTGTTTGGATGATGGAATTTTTTGAATACACAGTTACCTGTCCCTCAAATAAAATAAGATCACTCAACTTATGACTTTACTTTTACAAAATCATTGACCAAATTTATCAAGGAAAACAAAAACCTTCACTTTGACCTCTTGACGTTTTGGGTTAAGAAAATAATACTCTCTTTACTTTTTGGATGTGATCAAACTGATAATAAGCCTTCTTGATCTTAAGTCAATAACTAAAAAAGAGTTATATTATTGCACATGTTTTTAAAATGTCAAAAACTAACTTCAATTAATATGGATTATAACACTACTCTTTTAAATAATTGAAATATCTATTGCCTAGCAAAAAGATAACATGCAAGTGTCAGCTTATTTAACTTTAAGACGTGCAAATATTGCTGAGAAATTAAATCTTACAACACCTTTTATTACTAGTATTTCATAGCATGAACGGTGGTCTAAACAACATTTTGGAGATAGAAGGGAAGTTATTTTGTAGAAATACATTTTATATATGGAGCGATAGCAGATACAAGTCATGGTCCAAAAAAAAAACAATCTATGAAGGATGACATTCAAATTTAGTACCTGAGTATGAGCCAACACGCGAATAACACAAACATAAAAACTCACTCTGGTTATCTCTTTTACCTTCATCAGTCTCATATTTCTTGGAGTATTCCATAAGGCCGCCATCTTGGACTTGCTCCAGTTTTAGTAGCACCTTTTCATTGAGATGATGAGCCCAAAGTGATTGAATGAAAGCAGGTTTCAACCTGACTTTAATCAGGATCAGGTACAGGATCTAGATCGGTCCATACGGTGAACGGAAAATCCCTTCTTCCTACAGATGTCTTCAACAATCAACAGTCATGGGGCAAGGATAAAAATGAGAAAGAAGCACATTAATTTATCGTTTTTTACATGTTCTTCATTATATTTATTTTTTATTTCTCACATGTAAGGTGTGTATAGACATTTAAGTTGTATCCCGTTCCTTCAATGGAGGAAATGATGACTCTTAAAATTCTTGCTCATACGAGGATGTGAATTGATGATCAAGAAGAGAAAAAGGAAAAGTAAAAGCTTTGCAAGTACCGTATATCAGATATCTCTAAAAGAGAGTTGAGTTTTTGATATTCTCTTTTTTTTTTGTTTCCCACTCGGTATCCGGAGCCTGCATTGGAGCCCAGACTAAATTCGGATGGTGCACTGCAGGGTTCATTCGGGGGTATGCTCCCAACAGGATTTTCTCCATACTCAGGGCTCAAATCCGAAACCTCTTGTTAAGGGTAGAGCAGTCCCACCACTGCACGCAACTGTACATGGAATGTCATTCTTTGACATACTTGTACACTGCAAGAAATATCCAATGTGAAAACATAATAAAGATACCAACTACCAAAAAATTGTAAGATTTGAATGCTTCTTCTAAGAGTGAATGCATAAAACAATAAAACATCACAAGGGGATAGACATGAACAAGGAGTCTATATGCATTACATACGACGAATTTAACAAACTTGCAAAATACATAGTTGGCTATGCAAACAATCATGTGATTCTTTGATGACTGAAAACACAAAAAGTCAAAGCAAGAGCCCTTATTGAAGATAGAATAAATGAGAGTACTATATTTTTAAAGTGTCTTCTTGCTAATTTTTTTGTTATTTGTTCATGAAATTAAGGTCTTTCACATGTAAACGTCTTCTTTTGACGTTTCGATTGCTACAAGAAGTATCACCTGCCATTTATGCATGGTAAAAACTATTTGATAAATTCTTAAAATCTCCGTATTTGGTTGTAGCAGGCTAGCAGAGTATCTGAAGTGCCATAATCCAACAATGTCAAGCTTGTCAGCGTGTCTTGAAGTACAGCACTGTCAAAACAGTACCATCCCGAGTTCTCCACTTTGCTTAATAGTATGAAGTCAATAATCAAGGAAAGGTCATTACGCAAAAAGCAGTACAAGCCAATCTTGAGTCCAACATATTTATTGCAATTTATTTGAACCTAAACTACTAAAATCATGCATGAGTAGATCATGACATTCATGAAAAATAGAGAGAAAACACACATACGCCAACCAAACTCACTATCAAAAACTGAATGAAGATCCACCAGAAACAAATTTAATAGAAAATGGAGAAACTCTACAAGAAACCCAAAAGTGAAGACCAAAAGGAGCAAAAAAAGAAAAAGAATATAGGAGAAGATTTGGGAGACAAAGGAGCTAGGGCCTGAGAGATTATAGCAGCAACATCATAACAATAGAAATGAAAATTTGCATCATTTAAAATTGGGCACAATCTTTAATTTTTATCATGTTATTCTAGCGTATGACTGCAAAAGGTATCGGGGTTATGAAAATAACTCTTTTGTCTAACCTCTGATTGTCTATTTTATGTATGAATGGATATTACTTGATACCTCCGAATGAAAATCTCAAATTTTCAAAAGAGTATGAAAAACTACCATTGAACCAAAAATTCATGAACTCTCAAAGAAATCAAGTGTCCCTACTCCCAAGAATTTGGTTGGGATCGTGGGAACTATCGCTCGAGAAGTAAGAAGCTGATCCGTGTTTGGTCATAAGGATAATAGTTCTTCTTAGGTCTGGAGCGGTCGGACCAGGGGGTTATCCGCGATTGGTAATGGCACAACCAGAATAGGAGTAGAGTAGAAAAGGGATATATGAAAATCGTTCTCTTCCTTTGTGCATCTCATTGATGGGTAAATATCCATAAAAAAGGGACAACTTTCGTGTAGTTTGTGATTGGACGTAACTAATAAGATTTTCTCTATAATAAATCCTTCTCTTGATATATCTCTTCTTGTTCCTCAATCTTCGGAGAGGGCCCCTACAAATTCGTAGATCTGAGGAACATTCTGCAACAAAAGGATGGTCCCCTATGCATTTCATTTTTTCCTTAAGGTCAGAAAAGAATATCCCCATCATAGTGAACCTTTCCTTGTAATCGGGTTGAGGTAGATACCTCCCATAAGCCAGAAATCAGTGCAAAAAGAACGAAAAGGGGAGAAAAACTTACCAGACTTGACGAACTATGTTGCACGGACTCTCCAATATAGTTGTTGCACCCGTGTCAGATCTTCTAAAAGCAATACTTGATACAGTGACTTAAAAATACCTGTTCATCCTCCTCTGTGCCATAAGAATAACAATACTAAGTAATATTAGAAGTATTTAAGCAATGTCACTAAATAAAGAAATCAGATCCAAAAATGTAATGGTGACAATGAAACGATAGCTTAAAGAACGTCCAACTAAAATCACACAAGGACTCCGTCTGCTCAAATAAATAGATACAAATACCTCCCATCAAAATACATGCCTGAAAGTAAGCTAGCTCAAATGTCAGGCATATTTCCTTGTTTATTCTTTCGTTTCTGTGATTTATTAATTATATACATTAGGCTGGTCCTAATGCATTCATTATTTTAAAATTAAATGTCTGAAAGTAAATAAAAGCAAAAGTACCAAAAAATTAGAATCTCACATCAATAATTCATGAAAAAGTGGAAGTAATAGCATAATACTGTCTGTTACAGAATTTGACACCAAAAACTCAAAGGTTAACATGCATCTGCAGTATCAAATAAGATTAATTTGTTTTCGTCAATTCAACTGAATTTCTAATTAATTGATTTAAAGTGATACATACATTCTTAAGTTCCAATATCGAGTACACTTAAACGGTATGGCATCATAAAGTTAGGAAATATGTTTTTTAATCATTGAAGGGTCCAAATATAGTCCATAATCCAAGTTGACATGTTCAACAAACTAGACAAATTTTGACTCTCTTAACACAATAAACAAAAAAGAAGCAACTAAAAAACTGAAACTTGAGATAACATCACACATTTACAGATATCATCTTGCATTTTAGTCTAGCTTTACGAGAAATGCGAAGTTTCAACATTTTTTCTGCACTTGAACAAGTATATGGAACGAAGAATCCTGAGACAACCACAATGCAGAGGCCATTTAAAGCTCTTCCCAGGTTTTCAGGTATTTTTAGGCATTCAAGAGATGCACAAATTCTCACAGGAAAATTATTGCTCCCTCTATCGCATTTACCGTAATGTGTTTGGTTGAACACAGAGTTTAAGAAAGAAAAACTGATTTTTAAAACTTGTGCTCTAAAACATGTCATAAGCATTCTTGTGGCTATTAAATCGTGTCATTAAAGGGTAAAACGTAAGGCTTAAATTTAAATAGTTTGTAAATTTAGAAAGATATCATTATTTTACATTCATGGACAAGGTAGCCACTCAAGGGTGAAGAATAAGATGTACAAGTATTTATTGCTTGAAAAGTAACTTTGTTAGGCATTATTATGGGATCATTAATGTGAAAATAAGAATGTTGAGACGGATGAACACAAATACAAGATTAGACAATATTGTAATGATTACCTCCTATAAAAGGTGCAAACAATACACAAAGAGAACAAGATAATAGGTCAGATAAAAGGAAATGTCGCTCAATATGATTTGATTACATCCTATGTATGCCTACAAACGCATCCGTCTATTGTGTGAAATCATGATGATTGAAAGTGTTACAAGTGTAGATGAGCTAGACCTTATTTTATAAGGTAATGTAAAAAAAAAAAAAAAGAGGACCATCTAGACCTAGAATCTCGAGGAAGGAAGTTTGCCTCAAAGGACCTACAATCTTTCGAATCTATACACTTCGCAAAAACGTAGAACACAATGATTGACGTGTGTTATTAAAGATGTGTCTATTAATGGAAAATGTAAAGAACCACTAGTTATTAAAGAACCTAAATGATTGTATATTAGAATGAAATAGGCCCAAGTGAAGTGAAAATGACCAGTGAGGATTCACATTAGCTGAATTTGACTAGTTTGTGATCGACACGTGGTCTTTTCTTTGTCGTTTTTGTGAGAAATATTGAAAAAAATATTATTGAATTGTTGTCGTGCCTACATTATTACATTGAGACCCTATTTATAGACACTAGAATACAATCCTTTCCAAGTAGGATACTATTTACTATTCCTATTTCAATTTGTATTCCTATACCTATTCCAAATAGGATTGTATAAACTTATTCCTATTCTCTAATAGGATTATATAAACCTATTCATATTCTAATAGGATTGTATAAACCTATGCATGTTCTAACACTCCCCCTCAAACTAGTGCATACAATTCATGTACCTAGCTTGTTACAAATGTAATTAATACGAGGACTGATGAGGGGCTTGGTGAGATATCTGCAAGTTGATCAGTCGACTTCACAAAATTGACAGTCAATCTCAATGTGCTTGTCTTCTCATTAAATACTGGATTTGATGCATAATGTCAATCAACCTCGATGTGCTTAATCTTCTCATAAAATACTAAATTTGATGCATAATGCCTATGAAACACATAGTGATAAAATTACAGTGTAAAGACTGTTTCAGACCATAGAGTGACTTACACAATCGACATACAAGGCTACTAAACTCCCCCTAGCAACAAAGTGCTCAAAATCTAGTATAAAGTATATGGATCATGTTGGAATCAATAGATGAGTCTATATTAAACAAGAAAGTCACCGAAAAATTGGTCGGAACATGCTCATACGCCGGAGTATTAGATTTGATGGCTAAAAGTGGCGCAATCTAAGAAATAAAATTATATAGGTAGAGTCGGAATGATGGCACGACCCAACTTGAAAATAGAAATTATATAGAATAGTTCGAATTGATGGAACGACCCCATTGAAAAAGAGAAATAATATGGGTAGGGTCGGAATGATGGCATGACCCTACTGAAAAAGAAAAATTATATGGGTAGGGTTGGAATGATGGCACAACCCTACACAAATTAGATTTGAGGAGTCACCGAAAAGACGAATAGAACTATGCAATTCAGATATGAGAAAATAGTTTGAAAAAAATCCACCGTACTACACAAATTAAGTATGAAAAGTAGTCCGAAGAGATGAACGGTGCTACGCAAAACGCAAATCAGATATGCAAAAAAAGGTGGTCACCAGAAGGATGGCACGGTGCTACACTAATTCTATAAGAAAAAGTAGTCACTGGAATGATGGCACAGTGCTAAACAAACCAGATATGAAAAAGTAGTCAACAGAAAGATCGCACGGTGCTACACAAAATAAATATGAAAAAGTAGTCACCGAAATGATGGCACGGTGCTACACAAATTAAATATGATAAAGTAGTCACCGGAATGATGGCACGGTGCTACACAAATTAGATATAAGAAAGTAGTCACCGAAATGATGACACAGTGCTACACAAATTAGATATGAGAAAATAGTCACCAGAAAGATATACGATGACCCAACTTTTGCTAACATAATCATTGACCAGACAGACGGCCTATATGAATAATAGCCGCCTGCCGGTAGTGGAAGCTCTTTGATTGTTTACCAAGATCGTAGAGACTTTGATACCATGTGAGAAATATTGAAAAAGAATATTATTAAATTGTTGTCGTGTCTACATTATTACATTGAGACCCTATTTATAGACACTAGAATACAATCCTTTTCAAGTAGGATACTATTTACTATTCCTATTTCTATTTGTATTCCTATTCTTATTCCATATAGGATTGTATAAACTTATTCCTATTCTAATAGAATTGTATAAACCTATTCCTATTCTATAAGATTGTATAAACTTATTCATGTTCTAACAGTTTTAAAGCTACAATTCCTCATAAGTAAAGTCATGATAGATTTAAGCTATCACTAAATTTAGAAATGCCCTTAGTTTGGATTGGAGACCACAATATTATTTAAAAATTACACTGAAACAAATAATATTACTTAGGAAACATGAAGAAAGAAAGGTGTTATATAACTTATATTTTTATCTCTATAAAAGAAGAGAAGATTCAACTTTTGTAGTCTTCACAGGAATTTTTCTTGTCCATTTTACCCCTAATTGAAGCTCTAATGACCTTGCAAGTTCTCACTCATTTTGGTAAACTTGAATAACTATATGGGCTTCTTAAATGGTATAAAACGCCAAGTTACCTGGACTCGGGTAAGTGTCCGATATGGGTGCGTATCTAGGGATCAAATTCTTCCTGATCTAACTTTTAAGACTCGGAAAATACGGATCTAGGTATGGATACAGGTACAGATATTCACCTAAAAATAATTCAAATATCTAAATGTTACCTTCTCATAAAAATATAATTCAAATATCTAAAAACAGAGTTTTTTTTTTATAACCGAGAAATCCGTTTGTGACCCGCCCTTTGGACCAATCACAACCTTCTAAACTCGGTGGATAATGGGCCCGCCCCTCTACCCTTCTCCACTTAACTAAAAACAGAGTTATAAAACCTATATTTGAGATATTATGAGGAAAAATGTTGATCAATAGGAGAATCCTGAAAATAGAATAAAAGGAAAAAGAGTGACATTGAAATTTCTATATACAAGGTATTCCATTTTCTCCAATTTTACCTTAGCTTTTGTTTTGATTACACATTCATTGAATCAGAATTTCTCCGTTGATTTTGGTCAAAGTACCCAAAATCGATTGACTAGAACAGGTACGGATCCCACACGCACCCATGCTGCGTCAACACGGGTGCGATATTAAAAGTGACAAGTCCAAGCAACGTAGACAAGGAGTGATGATGTTATGGAAGAGAGGATAGTGACATCATAAAAGATCTATTTATTCAACCAAATTTAAAATTGATCCAAAAGTTTGTTGTCCTTCATTTATATGGAAATTATTATTAAACTTAATTTCAAATCGTCTTTTTTCCTAAGAAATTTACTATAGACAAGTAAAATAGTTATGGTGACATTCCGTTTCTACCTTAGTACATGTTTAATCATTAAATTATTTTTTTAATATATAGCTAAAATTGATTTTAAAATTTAAATATAAACTACAATTTAACTCTCCAAATAGTATAATACTAAATAATGGCAAACGACAGTAATTGTTCACACTTTTGGATATTGAAATATTTTTTAAAAGATGGGAATCAACGTTTTATATAATTTAGGAAAAAATGGTTAAGTTAAGCATAAAATATTAAAGCTCCATACACGTTTAAGAAATAAAATATCGATTTCTTTTTTTAAAAATCAAATTAAGAAAAATTAAAAACTACATCATATCATAACATGCTCTTTTTAAAGAGAAGGAAAGATTAAAGTAAGAAAAACAAATAACTTCATTAACCTTCCAATTCCTTTTGTATGGTTTAATTTGAAAGAACATCTATAGAAGTATTTTGTTGTATCAAGACTTAATTATTTATTGATTAACTTCATTGATGTTATCAAAAAGAAGTTGCAAATATAATTTTTAATGTAGTTTATGCCCGGGCTAAGCACATGCCTGGTTCCACTATTATAAACACAATAAAAATGCCAGAAGACTGACAAAGAGAACTCCTGCATCAACTGTCAGAACTTGCACACAATAAATATTTCAAAAACAAGAAGGAACGGAAGGAAGAAAATGAATTCCCAACTGCCTACATGAGATTAGAAAGGAGGAGCACATCTGAGTTATCTTTTATTGTCAATAATTTTCCAACAGAACAGGAAATTGCAAATTTGTACTTAGAAACACTAAGGGAATGTTGGTAGATGACCTGTTATAATATAAACTTACAAGCAAGACCAAAAGATAAAGCATTAAATTGCAGTGAAGAATTTCAATCTAAGGATTAGATGGCAAGTTGCTTACAGGTCGGGAGGAAGACCCATAGCACGGAGGATAAGAGCTGCCTTTGATCCACTCCACTCAGGTGGATGATGGTATTTACATGAAGATCCAAATTTGCAATCCCCATACTTCATGTAATAATGACATTCAGGCTGCCCAGGTCTTTCTGGAAATGCAAGTCCATCCTGGATGCTGCTTGAAGCACCAAGAGAAGCAGTAAGAGACACATATGGGCTTGCGTAGGCAGGTGCTGAAGCAGATAGTTGTGTATGACCATAAACTGGACCTGCTCCAGCTGCAGACTGAGTAGTTTGGGATGGCACTGGACCTGCTCCAGCTGCAGAGTGAGAAGTTTGGCATGGCACTGGACCTGCTCCAGCTGCAGACTGAGTAGTTTGGTATGGCACTGGACTAGTAGAACCCTGCACCAGATAATTTAATACTTGCCCGATAAATAATGCATTTCAGGAAAGATCTATATCAACAGATGCAACAAACACTTATAATATACATACCAGATAAGGAATCCAATCCGACACGGGAACCATTCCAGGGGGAAAAAGCATAGGACCATATGTGTCAGGAATATAGGAACCTGGAAGCTGAGCAGGCCTTATAACTGGCCAGTTGCCAGTAACCATTCCATATTGTTCAGCTGAATCAACAGGAAGAGGTTGCAGTTCTGGATAAGTGGCTGGCGGTGGAACAGCCGCTGGCAAAGGAAAAGGTCCAGCTGCTGGTGCTGGAACTTGCACACCAGCTGGCTGTGGATGGTGAAATTTACAGGTGATGCCAAATTTACACTGCCCTGTTTTCATATAGTGCGAACATTCCTTTTCATTCTGTGAAACGAACTCAATGAACCAAATCAGAAAGATAATTTAATGGTCAAACTTTTCAAAGGAGACGAGAAAAAGAATTGAAAACACAAACGAATGGAGATAGCGATACAAGGAGACAGAAGGAACATAATGAACATGAAAAGAAGACAGACCGGTCGCAGCGGGTAACCATAAATGTTATGTATCACCAGGCTTGGAGATTCCCCTCCCTGTCTTGGATGGTGGTATTTGCAGGAAACACCAAATTTGCACATCCCCGTCCTCATATAGTACTGTAAATCATAACCAGGAACAACTAGCATTATAACAGTGAACATTACAGTCTTATACATGAAAGTTTTGCAAGAATTTCAAATGCATGACATATAGCCATCTAACTTTACTGACCAATAGTTCTCATATTCAACAATCACTTAGGTTAATTAGCAGCAATTCATATATTAGAAAACCTCAGAATGTAAATCACAGTTCGGAATAGAATAGGTTCAGATGCTAGATCACACAGTACAAGATAAGAAATGGAATATTATAGCAGACAAATGATTTTCATTATTTTCTTTGATTAGTGATTAAAGTAAACCAAAGGAATTTTTTTCAACACGTAATATACAAGGCAAAATCCAAAAAATAGCTAGATCTGTTAAAATCAAGACTACTAACAGATCAGAAAAAATATAGTAGGTTTCAACTGCATACTTATCTAAACCACACATTCAGGTAGCAATAGCATTCACATTCTAAAAATTAAATCACAAAGTAGAAGGAAAAATTTCTTAAGAACAACATCTTCAGCGTGAAACATGAAAAAATGGTAACAACAAAAACAACAACAAATCCATTGTAATTCCACAAGTAGGGTCTAGAAAGGATTGTGTAGGCAGGCAAACCTAGTGTAAATACTAGAAGACGCGACAGAAGACTTTACGCTTTTCAAAATGGACTGTACACAAATGAACTCTTCAAAACCAAACATTTCATGTGTTGGAACACTAAACATAATAGAGAGATAAAGACACTGGAAACTTCCACAAAGAATTGAATAGACAGAATTAAAAAGTGATTGATTCACTACACGGAAATCATAACCTCACCTCACTCTAGACAGCCAAGTGAACAGATGATCAAGGTAACGTGAAAAGTCTCAGAAGCTCGAAACTAGCAGCCCCATGATAAAAAGTAGAAATTAAATCCGATTATTTAAACTGAAGCACTTACGAGTAGCCCAATTCAAGAGTATATTCCAAAAGACCAAAAGAAATAAGTATAAAAAAAACAGAAGTATGAACATAGTAGCATAATATTGAACGCAGAACAGAATGCCAAAAATTAACTTAAAACATTCTAGCAGTGACTTTGGAAGAAAACGCAAGATTAAAACAGAGAAAGAGGTCTTTCTCCTTGGGCAGACAGCAAACAGACGACTCGTGAGAGGGCATAGTCAGCCAAGCGTGCAATTCTGGGAATCAAGAAATTTTTGGAAATATATATAACAAATAACTGCAAGCTTTTGTATGTCATAAGATGGGGAGCTAATGGAAGAGATAAATGTCAAATAGTAATCAATCATAGCTTATGCAAAAAAAAAAAAGAGATCTATCATACAACAACTTCTATGCCTCAGTTCACGTTGGGGTCAGCTATGAATTCATATTGACCATATTTTTCTATTTTAGCTAATCGCATGCACCAACATTGTACAACAATGATCAATCATAATTGGAAGAAAATGATACAAGTATAAGCAATGAAATTGGAAAATGGACGGTTGAAAGATAATTCACTGCTAAATACTTCTAAGGCGAAACATTTACTAGATACAGCAAAATGGTGAATATTATGACAGAGTCTAGCAAATTTAATTCCTCCATAGAGCATTTGAAAGATAAGATGAGAAATCTCGTCATGATCAACATCATAAATAGCATACTAGATACTAGAACATAATTCTTTTTATAAGCCACTTATATGCTAGGACAACATATGATGTCATTCAGCATATTAGATATATGAAACAACGGAAAAGCACATATATTGATTTGTTAACAAAAAGGGCAGCTCAATTAGTACAGGGTAAGCAAAAAAAGTAAACAAAATTATTGTACAAAAGATAGCTAAATCCAAAAACACATCTTCTCTCTCGAACTTGATCATTAAACTAACACCAAATCTCAAACTGATTTCTATCACATTTAATGGAACTACCTGGCAAACATACTGGCCAGCTCTCTCAGGGTATACTCCTCCAGTAGCTCTTCTTTCTCCCACAGCCTGTTATCAGTTTAGATACATGAAATTTCAAATCTTTCGTGCTGACTTCACTAAAGATCAGGAGTGCAATTTTAAAGGATTAACAATAGACATTTAAAAATCCAGAATGAAGATTGAAAAAAATTGATCTCTTAATAGATCATTCTTAATTGAACAGTAACAAAGCAAATCAAGTGATCAGGGCATCATAATAAACACAAATACCTCAAAATGAACCCTAAAATTACACGATTTTTATGTGGCTTATAACAAAAATTACCAAACTCCGATCACGAGGATGATTAAACCGACAACGAGAGCCATAGCCACAGATTCCGTTCCTCAAGTAATAAATACAATCAGGCTCGTTAAGCCGTTCAGGGTACGATCCTGCTTCAGTGCCAACCGACAACTGCCCCATAGGTTCTGCATTACACCCAATGAGGAAAAAAATGAGTCAGATACAGTCCACATTACATGAACTAGTGTCCAAAAATTCCGGCGAAATACAGATAAATTAGAAGATGCAGGTAAGAGTTTACTCACCTTCCAGTCCAGTTTCTTCGTCGAGAGAAGCTTGCTCCGTCACCGGAGCGTCATCGGTCGGCTGATCTCCACTAACCATCTCCATTTTCCCCCAAATGAACTAAAAAAAACTTATCAACATAAAACCATATTTCATACGTTACACTTCTGTTTTAGAGGAAAAAAAGAGACTTAGCTTTGGCTTTGACAATATGACAAAAATCTCTCTCTCACACATTCAGTCAGTTAGTGTGAATACTGTGTGCGCCATTTGATTTGGGAAGTTTAATGGCTTTGCTTCTTTGACCAAAATACTCTCTAAGTTTGTATTAGTTGATCATTAAATACCTCCGTCCCATATTATTGATCATTATATTAAATATACTTTTTACATATTAGTTCAAGAAAGTAATTATTTGTTTTTATATTATCTTTGTAATTAATTCTTTTTAAAAGTGTTCACATTTATTTATAAAATTTCTAAAAAGTTTTTTAAGGAGTAAATTAGTAAAATCATATTCTTATTTATGATTTCTTAATCACCATGGAAAATGAAGAGTAATCAACTAATATGAAACGGAGCGAGTTGTCTTTTTTCCGTGTTTTGTGTTTTTATGAATTTTGTCTCAAAGTCGTTGTAAGTTGTTTCTTTCGGATTTGGCACCCCTTCATTATATTTTCTCTCCACTTCGTCAAGTACACATCTAGATGAGAAACTTTAATTCTTAAAAATTAATATCATATTACACTAACAAGTAGGGGTGTCAAATGGGCGGGTTGGATTGAAATTGAAGAGGTTAAAATGGGTTGCCTTAAAAAGCGGGTTGGGTTATAACCCGCCCAAATTTACTTTGGGCTCAAATGGGCTAAAATTTGGGTTGGGTCATGACCCGCCCAATTTGACCCCGTTTTATCTACGCAAAATCTTAATAGCAAGTAGAAATACAATACGATATTAAAAAATAATACAACACAACATTAAAAAGCAATACAACACGATATTAAGTAGCAATAATAACACGATATAAATAGCAATACAATACGATATTAAGTAGAAACAATAACAAGATATAAAATAGCAAATAAGTGGTATTATATGAACTTTAAAACCACAAAGCAATTTGAAGAAGAACATAATTTTCTAAAAAAAAAAGGGCAATTTACATAAATCACATACTTTTAAACCAAAATTACAATATATCCCTTAAAAGTTTATAATTACAGAAATCCCTCAAGCGGATACAATAATATAAGCGCTGATACATTAATCTAATGCGCGAGATACATTAATCGTTAAGTAAGATACATTACATTTTATACATGATACACTAATCTGATGTACATTTTATACATGATACACTAATATGATGCGCGAGATACAATAATATAAGCGCTCATACATTAATCTGATGCGCGAGATACACTAATCTGATGCGCGAAAATGAGGGATTTTGGAGATTTGTAAAACTTATAGGGGATAATGGTAATAAGTAAACTAAAAGGTGGGATTTTTGTAAAAAAAATAATTAAAAAGTAATAAATGACTTGTAATTTTTGTGAACGTCAAATATTTTGAACAAATTAATTGGCCAAAATTAAATTTGCTGTGATCTTTCTGTGAAGAAGTGAGAGCAGCCGGTTAACTTTAGAATATAGTTTAAGGAAGCGGGTTGAAGTGGAGAATGTATGGGGCTCAACTCCGAATTAATTTAAAACGGGTTTATTGGGTTGGGTTGAAAACTGATCCAAATTTAAATTATGCTGGATTCAACCCATAAAAGTATGGGAGGGTTGGGCGGGTTATTAAGTTTGGGCTCATTTTTGACACCCATACTAACACGTATCATAATCATAATTAAGTCAATAACTTTTGGAAAACTACTCTCTAAATTTTATAAGAACATTCACAAAATTTGATATACATTAATTTCATTGATTTTTGTGAGTAAATTAGAATTAAATTTTTTGTTTGGTATTTTTCAAAGGTTAATGTTAAATGGCCAGAAATTTTGATCAGAATTTGATCAGAAATTTAAAAAAACTATAATATCTTTTTTATTTTAAAATAAATTGATCTTTTTTTCATTTTTTAGTTAAAATATATTAAAGTTAAAATGATAAAAATATTCAAAAAGGTAAAATAATATAGATAAAATACCATTCTAACCAAATTTCTCTCGCCAAATTTTTTTTCCTTTTTCAAATTCTGAATTACTATGATCAATCCGGAGTTGAGAAAAGAAAGGCCATACACCCCTAAACGTGATAATCTTTTGAAATCTGAAAATGCTCTCTTTTGTTTTTCCAATTTTTTTCTTTTTCATCAAAACAAGAATTTTCTCAAACAAAAAATGCGATCATTTTTAAATTTAAAATGTATTTTTGGTTACGCAAAAATCAAATTAGATTAAAATTAATATTTGAACATAAAAATATAAGACGAAATTAATGATATTAATGTATATCAAAAATTGTGAGGAATATCATTTTCTTATCAAATTTGAAGAATAATCTTCTAAATGTTGTTGGTTTAGAGTCTGTTTGGCATTGCTGATAAAAAATGTTTATTTTTAGAAGCACATTTTAAAAATAGCTTTTCAAAAAAGTGCGTTTGAAAAAAATAGTAATTTTTGTTTGGTTAATTCATTTGAAAAGTGATTTTGATAAGCAAACTGTATTTGGATAATCTTTTTTTAAAAAAAACATACCTTTGAAAGTCAAATTACGAAAAAGGACAAGTATCAATGCACTTTTAATATTAAGATTATTTATAGAAAGAAATTATTTTAAATATCTATTATTAAAATTTTAAGTAAATTTTATTTTTATTAAATTAAAATGTACATATTTATTTTTTCAATCACTATTTCACATAGATTAATAAAATAAATAAATAAAATATTGATATAATATTGATATGATGATATAAATATAATTAGAAATATCAAGAAAAATAAATTTAAATTATTCACAAATAAAATCCACAACAAAAATAAATAAATAAATAAATAAATAAATAAATATAAAGGATATATTGATAAATATGTATATACGGTAGGGGGCATTTTGGTCTTGAAAAAAATAATTTTCTGCTTTTGCTTTTTTTAAAACAAAAATTTTTAGCTTCTTCCCAACAACACAAAAACTGCTTTTGCTTCCATTCAAAAACAGTTTTATTGATTTGTCAAACACCTTATTTTTCAAAAGAAAATATTTTTTTCTCAAAATAAATATTTCTTGGACTTCCAACAATAATGTCAAATAGACTTTTAACTATGATTATGATACTAGTTAATATAATATAATTTTAACCTTTAAAAATTAAATAGGATACATATCTAGATATATGTACTTGATGAAATGAAAAGAAAGTGTAATGGATCGGAGTCAAATCCTTTCCTTGCTGGCAAGCAGGCGTTTGGTTGAAGGGTGGGGGGATTGAACTTTAAAGAATGACATTCTTCTCTTTCTTTTTTTCATTTTTTTGTTTGGATTTGATTTTGGTTTTTAACTTATTTAAGTCAAAAATTATAAATTCAGATTATAACTATGAACAACTTTCACATATAGCAAATATAAAAATTATATTTGTATATTATAACTATAGTTTGCATAATTGCACTTCATAGCAAATTTTATGTTTGCTATGGAGTTTTTGATTTGTATAATTCGCTATTCGGCCAAACAAAAGGATGTTTGCTGCGAATTACAATTAAAATAAACTATGATTATAACATTTAATTTGAATTAACAATTTGTTATTTCATACAATTTTTCCTATAAATATTCCAAACTATCGTGAATCATAGTAATTATAACCTAAACTAGTGGGATTTATGTAATTTGCCCAAAATAGATTGTTTGGGAATTGGGCCCAAAAATCAGTTTTTATTCGCCTGGACTGATTTTGGGCCGCTACTGTTTCTGATTTGCCTTGGACTCTTTCAGGCCCATTTTCTAGCTGCTGCTCAAGATGAATTTGGGCTTTTGGTCCTTTAATTCACCAATATCAGCTTCCTGGGAGCGTTGGGTTTGGCCCAATAGAAGGGTACAAGGGAAACGGGAGTCCAATTTGGATTTGACCATATTAAATTGGACAAATTACAGAAATACACATCTTTTGTTTCACTTATTTCCATTATCCCCTATTACTTTTTAAAATCTCCAAAATCCCTTATTTCTTTAATGTATCCGAGCTACATATTAATGTATCCGAGACAATACTTAATGTATCCGAGCTACATATTAATGTATCCGATTTTTTTAATTTTTAAGGGATTAATGTAATTAGAAACTTATTAGGGATAAATTACAATTTCATATTAAAACTATGAGATTTATTTAATTTATTCATGCACAAAGAGAGAAAAACTAGGGGAGCTTATATAAACTTCACTAGTTTAGGAGCTAATTACTTATATACACTATAATTTGCAATTTTAAGTATCTTACCAGATTTTGATGCCTCGAGATATGTCTAGGGGTCAAAATTATGTGTAATTTATTCTAGATACATTTTATCTAAGTGGATTTGTGATACATAACGAATCTCGGTCTCCTCCCTATATGGTAGAAAACTCTTAATTAGTGGTAATATACATTTTAGCCCATTTTTTTCTCTTTCGATCCTACATCCCTCATGTATTTTTTAGAAAGAATTACTTAACTACACATCATTTATTATCATATTTTCTCTACCATTTCAAAAAATATCAAAAATCCATTCTTTTCCTTCCATTATCTCCTTTTTCGGATACACTAATTTGAAATCTCATATCTATGATTTTCCTTCCTTTTTTCACTCCACAAATCTCTCCATAATTACATCAATTATTCTATTTTCGAATTTCAAATCTTTTCTATTTCAAATTATTTAAGAGGTAGATTTTTTTCCTTCACTTCAATTTCTGATTTCTTTTTTTTTTCATCTTAAAAAATAAAAATAAAATTACCTCCTCCCCTTGGCCCCATTGAAATCTTATTGAACCTTTGCAATTTTAGTTAATCATATCCTCGTTGAAATTTTTCTTGAAAAAAATTTATTTTATTTTAATGTATCTACTGTTGAAAAATGTTCAAAAAAAAGAAGAAGAAAGTTGGATCTGCCATTGCACGACCGTCACTATCAAAGTTACAGAATTTTAATGTATCTCATTTATTTTGAGTCTTAAATTAGTCTTTGTTAGTGTTATCATTGATCTGATACACAGGGGCGGACCTAGAGTCTGCCGAGGGGCTTCACCCGAATCCCTCGGCAAAAAATTACGTTGTATATTTAAGGTATTTTTATGTTTATATATTGATTTTGAACCTCCTAAAAATAAGATTAGAGGTTGGTTTAGTGGTTGAGGGGTTCAAACCTCCAATCTTAAGCATTGCTCTTTTTTTTTCGAACCCCCCTAATGAAAATCCTGGATTCGCCACTGCTAATACATCACTGCTACAATAACCTTTGTTTTATGCAATGTATCATGTTCATATTTAAGGTATTGATACATAACTCTAATGTTGTTGAATTTTCGATTAGTGTTTATCATGTTCAATATAAATGTACTTGATACATAAATTTTGTGTTATGTATCACACGCACAAAAAAGAAGCTAATTTGGAACAATTACATATATAATGTATTTTTAAATTTTAAATTATAGTATTGCTCAAACAAAATAAGTTACATAAATAATAATGTATCATGTACTAATTTTTTAGTTATGATACGTAAATTCGAATTTATACTAAATGTATCTGAATCATAACAATTACCAAACAATAATGTATCGATCTCAAACCTAAAATCTTATGGGCAACATTTTTTTATTTAATGTATCTAGTAGAAATACAACACTTATTAATTTAAATTGAAAGGATTTTCATGACGTATCTTCTCAAAATTTTCGATAATTTTGAATCAAAATTGAAAGGATTTTCAATGACCTAGGAGAATAATTTTGAAACTCAAAATTTTCAACAATTTTGAATCAAAATTGAAAGGATCTTTAATGAACTGGGAGAAAAATTTTGAATCTCAATTTTTTTGACAATCTTGAATCAAAATCGAAAGGATATTCAATGAATTTTTAGATTCACAAAAGGAATCGTTTGTCCAACAACAATTCCATCACTTTTATATCTTTCATAACTCACCTCGCTTATCTAAAATTTCGACAAAAGTTCTTATGAAACAGAGAGAACGATGAACAAGAAGAAGGAATTTAATTTTTGAATCTTTTGGTTAGTTACACTATATGATTGAATTTTTTACAATAATTTGGAATGAAATAGCGCAATTTATGGGATCTTAATTTGATTTTCAGTTTTTTTTTCTCCTTAATTAGTGCAACAGATGGATACTATGAGATTTTAATTTAATTTTTCATTTTTTTGCCTTAATAAATGCAACAGATTGATACATAATGTATCAATAATAATGTATCTGAATTCTTAATTATGTATCCAAAATACCTAAAAAACATGGAATTTATATAATTAAAAAAATAATATAAATAAAAGATAATTTAAATTTTACACTAATGTAAGTTATACAGGTCTTCTCTTTGGCCTCCGAAGACGTTCCTTCGAGGAACCGTTCTCGTTGACTTCTTTACTCTCATTAGATTCTACCACCATGTGTCATTTACTACTGACACCATATGTTTTAGCCAATTTTTTCCAATACAAAATCGTCTACATGTTTTGAATTTTAAACAAATTAAATTATATAGCCAAACAGATTGTCAAAAAAAATCCCCTAAAATACCTTCAGAAACTATACCCAGGGTCCTATGTAAAATTGAATGACATCCATTAATATATTTTTTAGCACTTCTGTCAATCTTTATTTTTTAACTTTAAATAATGTTGATTTTACTATAGTTTTTTTGTTCAAGTGGAAATATGAACATTTTAATTGGTAAATATTCTCTTTTTTAAAAGAGGGGGAGAACAAGGGGAAAAAGAAAAAGAGCAGTAATCGGAAAGCAGAGGATGAATTCGAAAAGAAAAAAAAATTTAAGAAAAGAAATAAAACCCTATCAATTGTAAAGAAGCAAATAAACAAACAAGAAAAATAGCACACAACGGCGCCAAAGAGAAGCAGCAAAAGAAAGTTCTCATTCGACCATCGAGCTCGATTTGGTACCCATTTTTTTTGCTCTTTTATTCTACATTGCCGTTCTTATTAAAGGATTTATATTTTTCAAGGTTATTTTTAGTATATTTCAATCTGTGTTTCATGAGAGAAGTAAAGGTTGAAAGCTAGAATAAATAACTTGGAATTATTTAGTATTTGTAACAACATCAACAACATATCACGTGTAATTCTACAAGTGGAATTTGGGGAAGGTAGTGGCTATGCACACCTTATCGAGATTGTTTTTGATAGATCCTCATCTTTTTAGTATTTCAATTGATGTCAAACACATTTAACAATAACAATATATCTAGTGTAATTTCACAAGTGAAGTTCTGAGAGATAGCGAGTATGCACACATTATCCCTACTTGTGAAGATTGAGAAAATATTTGTGAGAGACCCTAGACTTTTTAGTATTTTAAGTGATGTCAAACACATGACGAGAATTTTTTTTATATACACGGAGGACAGATGGATCATTGTTTTAGTCAAAATACACCTGTTACCATTGGTTCTGCCTGTATAAAAAATAAGAACTTGATTCATTTTATTTTTTTTTGGATAAATTATCACGTTTTAAATTATTGTATTGTTGAACTTGAAATGTTTTTATTTGAAATAAGTCTTTGAATTATTGATTTTTTTTCGTTTTCAAGGAAGTTACTGCCCAGATGGATACTGCAAACTTAGAAGATCAGAGTGATTCCAATGTCAATAGTCCTGCTCTTTTGAACTTATCAAATGACAAACACTCGGAAAAAGGTAAAAGTGAGTATCGAATTCTCTTAAATGCTTTAATTGATGTAGCAAGGTTCATCTTGAAACAAGGATTGCCATTTTTGACTGATGAGGAAAGAAAATGTTTGGGGGACAAAGGTAATTTTGAAGCATTCTTGGAATGGTATGGGAATCACGTCGTTCCTGATGTGGGAAGAGTTATATCAGAAAATGCTGAAATGCATCAAAACATGATTGCCCCAAGTGTCCTGAAAAACATTGTGAATGTTTATGCAAAGGAAACAATTAAAAGAATTGTTGAAGACTTAAATGGAGATTATTTTGGAATATTAGTTGATAAGTCAGACGGTTTGTGTGATGATAACTCTGCACAATCATTGAAAGAAACTATAGATTCTTTGATTACGAGTTACTCACTCAGTCCATCTAAGATACGTGCACAAGGGTATAATGGAGACGCTAACATGGTAAGTGAGATCAATGATCTTAAGACACTAATTTTACAAGATAACCTGTCGGCATATTGCACTCATCACTTTGCCCAACCACTACATTTGACACTTGTATCTGTTGCTAAAAGACAACGTGATGCTGATGATTTCTTTGGTATGCTCTCTTTTATGTTGAAAGTGATAGGAGTTTCTTTTGAGTGCCAGGATTTTTCATAAGAAAATCAAGTTGAAAATTTGGAAAGTTTGGTAAAATTCTTACTGGGCGAGACTTTAATCAGAAGTATGATGAGCTTGAGAGATCAGGTAATGCTCCTTTGGAATCTTTTTTTGAAACATTACGTAGTTTCATTACTATATTTCCATCAGTTGTTCACATATTAGAAGTTATTGCGACTAACGATGTATGCTCTTCTGAGAGAATGTGGGCAGATAGTCTTTTGGATGACCTACAATCATTTGAGTTTGTTTATATGCTACACGTGATGTTCAAAGTACTGTTGATCACAAAGGAGTTGGATATAGTCTTACAAAGAAAAGATCAAGATATTGTAAATGCTTTGAAACTCGTTGGCACGACAAAGAGACAATTTGAAATGATGAGAGATGGTGAATGGGAACATTTGATGGATGATGTCTCTTCATTCTGTGTTAAACATGATATTTTGATTCCTAAAATGGATGACCTCTATGTTATCCCTAGAGGATTGAAGCGCAAGGTATCTACCGTCACATATTCATATCACTACCGCGTGAAAGTTTTTGATGCTATTATTGATTCACAATTGCAAGAGCTTGACAGGTGTTTTGATACAGTGAATAATGACTTACTTCTTGGCATGACTAGTTTGAGCCCAGTAAATTCGTTTGCTAATTATGACAAGGACAAAATAATGAGATTAGCAAAATATTATCCAAATGAATTTAGTGACGACAAACTTCAAGAACTCAGTTGCCACCTTGATAATTACATTGTTTATATGCGACAGTGTGACAATAAGTTCTCGAACTTGAAGGGACTTGGCGATCTTTCTAAGATGTTTGTTCAGAAAAAGTTGCATTTAACATGGCCATTAGTTTATTTGCTTTTGAAGTTGAGTTTGATTCTTCCAGTTGCCGATGCAAGTGTGGAAAGAGCATTCTCTTTTGTGAAAAAGATCAAAAATGAAATGCGCAAAAAAATTGATGAAGATTTTTTCAATGATTGTTTAGTCTGTTACATCGAAAATGAAGTATTTGAAAGTGTATCAGATGCTGCAATTGTTAATCAGTTTCATGGTATGGAGAAAATTTGAACTAGGCTATGTTTTCTGTAATGATGACTTTGATAGTGATATAATATTGTTCGATAGTTATTTTTGTTTACTTTAATATATATTAACTAGATGTGCCAAATGTGGTGTTCATATATTTTGGTAAGTGATTTGGGGAAGATAATAATCCTTTCTTAACTTTGGTTTCACTGATTTCCTATATTTTGCTTCATGTATTACTCCCTCCGTCCCTTTTTAGTTGTCCACTTTAGAAATGACACACAGATTAAGGCAACAATGATTAGCACAGTGAAGTTACAATTTTACCCTTATGACAACTTTTCACTTCAAAATTACAACCACTTATTTGAATTCAAGTGAAATAAATTGGAGGGAAACAACATACACTTTTACAATTTTCAAGAAGTGTAAATAAGGGTAAAATAGGAAAAAATTTGTTGTTCTTTCTTGATTTGTCAAAATGGACAACTAAATAGGGACAACTAAAAAAGGAAATATGGACAAGTAAATAGGGACAGAGGGAGTATTAGATTTTAAAGCCGATCCTTCAACTCTTATTTCTTTCTTTTTAATTCCTTGACTTAACAAAGTGTATTTATTTATTATAATGGAAACAAAAATACTCCGGCAGAGATAGAGAAGGATGGGGAGATGGAATAATACTCCCCGACTCTCCATCTCAATTTGTTTATTTGATTTTGACTTGATAGCGATAGACGTGAAGGAGATGGGGTCAATAACTTAGATTTCAATCAAGTGCATCACTAAGCCTTTTAGTAGCAAGGGTGTCAAGAGTTTATATTAGATTAATTCTAAAAAATATATACATAAAATATCAAGTTTTGCGAAAAAATCTAAGGTTCATGTTCTTCACAAACTACCTACTAAATTTGTCCATTGAACACTAAGTTTAAGAAAATAAATGAAGATGCAATTTTGATATGATTTGATTAATTTTGATTTTTTAAATGTCATCTAATGTATCACAATCGTTAAAATGATAAAATGTGAGAATTAAATATCAAAAAGTTATAATATCATAGAATGAAAGTATTTTTCCCTTTATAATATCCTACAATGTCAATTAACATAAGCAGTATACTCATTATGTTTATCATACTTATATGATGCATCACTCTAATTATAAAAGGGGAATTTTTCAAAATAACAATATTTTAGCTTCTTATGGGACCCCTTAGCAATAGTTTCACTATTTATTTAAAATGTCAATATTTTAGTTTGTTAAGTTCTGATTTATGTATTTTTTTTTATTTTGATTAATATGAAAGAACACAAATATTAAACAATAGAAAATCATGAGACAAAATATTTAAGAAAAATTAAAAACAATTTAAATTTAAAATCAGTTACATATTGAAGGAGCATATGTCGCCACTATTTGGCCGAACGTTTTTTTTCCTCTGTTGCTTAAAAATTCCAGTTTTTGAAAACAATATTTTTCCTTACGAATCATTACATTGATCTCATCCAATCTTCTTCGCTTTGTATTCGACATATGTTTGAAACTAAGGTTTAGAAAATTCACTACTACAAAGTATACCGTTCAACGGAATTCACGATAGTTCGACATAAACTAAGGTTTACATAATCAGATATAAAAAAACGTTGGTACAGATTAATTATGAATACAACTCTTTTGACATTATAGTTCAATTACACAAAAAAATACAACTTTGAAATTTATATAATATATAAATACAAATTAATTGTAAATTAAGTTGTTATTGAAAATACAATTTTGGTGAATACATAATACATATAATAAGTTGTATTTATTGTTTAGTTAGTTGTGCTTGTAATTGATATCTTATAGAGTGGAATTGTTTTTCAATTTCTAATGCCCTCTGTTTTGGAAATTAACTTGTTTGGACTACTTAGAATATGTACAATTTAAAATACAAAAACTATTGGTATAGATTAATAATGAATACAAATATTTTGGCATTATAGTTCAAATACGCAAAAAAAAATAATACAGTTTTGAAATATATATAATACATAAATACAAATTAGTTGTAAATTAAGTTGTTATTGAAAATACAGTTTTGATGAATACATAATACATATAATAAGTTGTATTCAAAAAATATAAATACAAATTAGTTGTAAATTAAAATGTTATTGAAATACCTTTTCGGTGAATACATAATACATATAATAAGTTGTATTATACACCATAATCGGTGATTAAACAGCAAATCAAAATAAATCTAAATGAATAATGGAAATTACCTTGCCAATCAAGAAATCTCTTGAATTAATAAAGAGATTTTGTTTAACAATCGAGAAAATTTCTTGAATTAAAATATATATTTTGCTGAACAATTTGTCAGCACCTTGAAGAAAGAGAATCTGAAAACGTCAAAAAAGGGATAGAAACGTGAAAGACGGGGGTAGAAAAGTGAAAGGTGAAGAAGGAAGGTTAATGGGTATTGATTTAATTTTTTTTTTTAAAACGGTTATTAATTTAGAATTTGGTCCAATATAGGACTGTTTTCATAAATAAAATTAATTTTAAATACTAAAATCTGAATACATATTATTTTCTAAAATATTATCATTCTGACATTTTAAATAAATATTTTAATGTGTTGTTATTTTGACTAATTATGTTAGGTATTGTGACTTAATTGCTAATTTTCCCATTATAAAAAGACGTATGGCAATTTATATTAATTTTAAATTGAAATTTATAATTAGTTTTGTTAAACAATTAAGTTAAGTGTGCTTTAAAATCGTTTGTAAATGCCAAATGGTAAGGAGGATAATTGTTCTACCAAAGAACTATTTTATTATATGTAATTGACTATAAAAAATTCAAAAAGATCTACAATTGTTTTTTGTTTTTTTTTGAAAAGTAATAATTTGTGATTATAAATATAGAAAGCAAACATTGTAAAACCTTTTTCCTTAAGCACTTTCTAAAATTCATACACTAATCAATTAATTAATTAAAAAATGCATTCTCTAAAATCAAAATTTAAAATGTGGACCCATTTCCATTAATTTTTTTAAAAAAATTAACGTGGTCCCCACCTTTTTCCTTAAACACTTTTTAAAATTCATACACTAATCAATTAATTAATTAAAAAATGCATTCTCTAGAATCAAATTTAAAATGTGGACCCATTTCTATTAATTTTTTTTAAAAAAATTATCGTGGTCCCCACCTTTTTCCTTAAACACCTTTTAAAATTCATACACTAATCAATTAATTAATTAAAAAATGCATTCTCTAGAATCAAATTTAAAATGTGGACCCATTTCTATTAATTTTTTTTAAAAAATTATCGTGGTCCCCACCTTTTTCCTTAAACACCTTTTAAAATTCATACACTAATCAATTAATTAATTAAAAAATGCATTCTCTAGAATCAAATTTAAAATGTGGACCCATTTCTATTATTTTTTTAAAAAAAAATTAACGTGGTCCCCACCTTTTTCCTTAAACACTTTTTAAAATTCATACACTAATCAATTAATTAATTAAAAAATGCATTCTCTAGAATCAAATTTAAAATGTGGACCCATTTCTATTAATTTTTTTTAAAAAAATTAACGTGGTCCCCACCTTTTTCCTTAAACACTTTTTAAAATTCATACACTAATCAATTAATTAATTAAAAAATGCATTCTCTAAAATCAAAATTTAACGTGGGCCCCACCTTCTTCAATCCCTTCTCCTCTAACCCCCCCACTCTTTCTTCTTCCTTGATTTTTGCCATTTCCAACTTTCATTGAGTTTTTTTTTCTATCGTTTCCAGCCTTCAATAGTTATTTTTTTTCTTCACCATTCATCAATTGTTTAAAGAAAAGTAGTATATCTATTACTTTTTTTCTTCGAACCCTCTCCCTCACCCATAAATCTAACCGGGGAAAATGGTATTTTTTAGAAGCCATATTTTTTTTGACAATTCAAATGAAAAATAAAGGTTATATAAGAAAGTTGATAGACCACATTTTTTTCATCATAATTGGAGTAATAGAAATCAAAATGGATTACTCAAAATTCAAGAAAGTTTGCATTCAATAATATGATGTTAATGCTAAATTTTGTGGATTAATGAAGGATTGGTGAGGTGAGGGATGATGATGAAGGAAGAAATGACTAATATGGAAGAACAAACGTATAAAGAGTGCTCCATTGGGGAAGAAGATATTTGGGGAAAGCAACAAAATAAAGAGGTAGAAAAATTGAATAAAAAAAATGAAATCTACAAATTTTATTTTAAAAAATTTAATTTATAAAAATAAAGTAAAAAAATAGTTATATATTGACCAATAAAAATGGTATATGAATGATTTTATCATTCGGTTTCTTTTTAATTATTATTTCACACACTTATAGGAGAGTGAGTGCACTCGCTCTGCTATATTCACCCTTATGAGATATTTAATTCACTTGAAAGTTATTAAGGGGTGTTTAAAATGTTCATATAATTAAAAGGCGAAATGACTTGGGAGACTCTTGTACTTGACTCCGTTTGTCAGTTAGACCTTTATACTCATGACTTTGTCAACTAAACCCTTAAATTAATTAAAACATTATATTTTAAACCCTTTTCTCATTTGATATGTGCATGTATAGCACAATCGTTTACACGTGAAATGCCATGCCATTTTGTAGGATTCCATATCATTTTTAATAACACATAAGAAATTAAATATTTTTTTATAAAATAAAAAGAATTCTGAAAATTTTCATTATTATGTTCTTCAATATTTGCTCACAAATCACAATTGAGGGCGAAATTCATGCCAAGCAACTGACAAGTGTAATTCTTCCTATTGAATTGAATTTTTACAATAAATTCACAAATACAAATTCAATAATTTTTCATCATAATTTTAAATTAATTTCATAAATTGACAAAACTCATTTGTTGTTCTTCAAGCTTATTCATGAAATTTTTTCAATTTGTCAATATCCATCATCATTCTTCACATTATCTCATATAAGATTCGAAAAATACTTACAAAATTGAAGTTTTGGAAATGAA